GGTTTTAGTTGTTAATTACTAGTAATTAGTCATTTCAGACTTCCCATCAAAAATAAAAAATTTTAAAAATTTGCATTTTTTTTATAGGAATACATTTAATTACCACTATGAAAAAAATACATTTACAAGGAATAAATAGATCGAAATTGTATAAATTATTACAAATTACAGAGTAATAAAATGAACCAAACTTATACATTAACAATACTAGAACTTGAAATAAAAAGGGGCTTCCATTCCATAGTGCTCCATGACAAATGATTTATTTTCCCTTTTTTTTTCTTTTTTTTTTTTGACAAATGGAGTTATGGGAATGATGATTAATTTGTCTTGTTAAATACTTAACGGTTAAGCATATTTATATATAATAATAAATTAAGGCTTATAAAGAAAAAGTTTTTTTTTTTTATTTGTAGCTATAAAGAAGAGTTTTGTTAAAGGATCTTTAAAAAGCATATAAAAAAATTAGCAAAATATACAAATAAATAAATAAACGAGTAAGCCCCAAAACCAAAAGTTTAATACTATACTACTCCTACCTTATTAAAAATTAAACCTCCAATTGACTAAATGCTGCCACTAATCCCTGAAAAGCATATGGTCCATGCACCTAATGCGACTAAAATCATTGCTCAGCACCTCAGGTGCCTTATTTTAAGGGAAATGATAATCATGCGACAGTATTTTTTTGTATAACGGTATATACAATATGATACAATACGTTAAAATTAATTATTGTAAAATATATTTCATATATTGATTACATTAATTTATTTAATATTATCTTAAAAGATTTTTTTTAAAATCTGTATCTTACAATTAATGCATCTTTAGTTAGAAAAACCTTCTTAAATATTACTAAAGCGATGGATTTGACACATAATTTTAATTGCTAAGGAAAAAAAATTTTTTGTGGAAAATAACAAACTTATTGGAAACGGAAAAAGGACGTATGGGCAAAAGTCAGGGGAGGAGCGGGGGATGCTGCCATGGGCCATGCCGGTGTGTCTTTTTTTTTTTGAGGAAAGCCATGCCGGTGTGTTTAAATTCACATAAAAAGAAAAGAAGACAAAGGCCAAAAATCTCATCAAAAGACAACAAAAAGTGGATCAAATTGAGACAGCGATTGGAGGTAGGGCCGAAGGGGACCTTACTCCTTAAACCCCATCTAGAAATCCTTGACTTTTATGAGCCTAAGATACCACTGTAATAAAATCAATTCGTACTCTACTAATTAAAGAAAATGACTAACAGACCACCCCCCAAAAAACGTTGGTTGTGCTGATAATGCTTCTGCACCCAACTTCTTCAAACACTCCCTCCTTTCTCCCTCTTCCTAGCTTCCATCCATTTTTTTCTCACAAAAAACCATGTTTAATCCCACCAACAATTTGTCCCAACAAAAACATGCCAAATTTCCGGACTTTTTAGGACAAAGAATAGCTGAGAGTTTTGATGTCTTGAATTTAGGTGTTGTTCGGACACAGAAAACAATGCAGAGTTATGGTAATTATAGGAGTTTGAATGGCAGGGAAGGACAATTTGCGGATGTGGAAGATGAGTCTGGAGTCCGGACACCGCCCTTGTGGCCGGGGAGTCCGCCACGGAGACCTAACCATTACCGTTGCCTGTCACCGGCTTCCAAAGCTCAGGCGATCGAACGGGGCCAAAGAGAGCTTATGGAGTTGGTGAGTAAAATGCCCGAGTCCTGCTACGAGCTTTCCTTGAAGGATCTAGTGGAGCAGCCTATGATGGAGGTGAAACAAGAGACTACAGCGGTAGATAAAGATAATTACAGTAGGAAAACGGAGGGGAAGAAGAAGAAGAAGAAGAAGAAGAAGAATGAAAAGAAAGCGCAGATAAGTAGGAGTGGGAGCATAGACAATGGAGGTTTTCTTCTGAAGATGGTCTTCCCAGTTTCCTTGGGGTCCAAGAAAAAGAAATCGAAGAATGATTCTAATTCTACCTCAAATTGCAATTCCAAAGTTTCCCCAAGGCCATCCTTCTCCGATGCATCTGCTAAGGTTGAGGAGAAGGAGTGGTGGAAGAAGACATTTTCAGGGTCGAGTGAGACTGAGAGTTGCGGATCTAGTATCAATAGCAGAAGCACAAAGAGTAGCCGCAGCAGCAGTTGCAGTAGCAGCACTAGCACCGACAGCAGAAGGTATGTTCAAATTGAAATTTTGTGGATGTACAAATTAGATTTTGTATGTTTTGGGATCCTTTTGTAAAGATCTACAAAACTAATTTTGGGTTTTGGTCATTAACAGATAAAAATTGTTCATTTTGTTCATTGTTGATTGAAATAAACATGCATTTTCTTTGGTGAAATGCAGGCATGGGATGGGGAATTGCTGTTCTTTTATCCGAACCAGGAAAAGCCATACATCAGAATAAATGAGGGGCGCCTTTGATGAATGCTGGAGTTGCAATATGTAATTAAGCATTTAGGAACAGAGAAAAGCAGTGATCTTTTCACAGCAAAATATGCAGTTAAAGCTTGCCTGAAATATATATAGACCGATGTCTTTTTTGAGTGTTTTTTTTTTTTTTTTAACTTTTCCTGATTTTCAACATAGGAACCTTGATTCAGTGAGAATTTTCATGATTTTTGATATGTGCTTCAGCTAGAATGCTATCTGAAATGACCAAAGGAATGCACAGAACTGCAGAGATAAACAGGCTAAGTTGATAAATAGTCTGTGACTAATGTATGAAGAATTGAAATTGGATTTGAAGCTTTGAAGCATTATTCTCAATAAATTATCACGAAACAAATCAGTATTTTTCTTTTGGGACATGATGGAAAAACAACATTAGAACAACACATAATTCCAATTCAGAAATGTTTAAAGCTAATGCTGATAAAAAATAAATAAATAAACAAAAAGGATAGGTTCAAAGCTAATATCAAGTCTAGTCCAAAGTTCAGGCCCAATTTGGACATATCCACTTAACCTCCATAGTTTATTAATTTTTTGATGAGATAGTAAATATCATTAATAAAAGGTAGGAGGACAGCTGGTACAGCAGAGCACAATGTAATTGCTTTGGAATTCCACCTAATCCCATTAACCTATTATTTCGAATCCCACCTAATCCCATCAACTTATTATTACATAATTCTATAAACTAAAATGAGCAATTCAGGTTAATCCACACTCTTAAACCACTGTTAGTCTATTCAAACTAAAATTCTCTCCTGAGTTTATTAATACTGAAGGTGGAGTCTCAAACGGGGTTAAGTGCACATTTTCAAAACTACAAGTAGTTAAAAGCACATTTCCATGCTGTGGGGGATTAAGTGCACCAACTTCAAACCCCAAAGAGGTGAAGTGAAGAGCACATTTTTGTACTATAGAGGGTTAAGTGCACCAAGTTCTAAAGCACAAGGGAGGTAAGTGCAATTATCCCAAAAATATTTAACGGTGGCTCTTCTGATTCCTGAAATATCCTTGTGGAAGAGGGAAATAGAAAGTTAAGATTGTCGGGGTCGCAGGGATGTGAGTAGAACGGGAAGGAGATGAAGAAGAAGGGAAACACGACCCAACCACAAAACCTTACTCGATTGCAGAAAAGAACGCTACTATTTAGATTCATTTCATTCAGGGTTCTTATAGTTACCGGAGGAGCATATACATATATTCCGTCTTTGCCATTAACTCGCTCTGTATGTGCCAGTTTTTGAGGCGAATTTATGGGTCTAACAAAACCGCACTTGCTTATTACACTCACGTCATAGAACACGTTTTGTCCATAGGGTCCTTTGATTTTGCCCAAATTATCCATGCCCAGCTGATAAAGGTTGGTTTCAATAGAATAACTTTTCTGGGTAATCGTTGTCTTCAACTATACTTCAAATTTGGTGCCGTTAGTGATGCTTTGAAGGTGTTCGATGACATAAGTACCAAAAACACTATATCTTGGAATATTTGCTTGAGTGGATTGTTCAAGTTTGGTTATTTTCAGAGGGCATGCTCATTGTTCGATAAAATGCCTGTGAGAGATGTTGTTAGTTATAATTCGATGATTTCGGGTTTTGCTTCTTGTGGGCTTATCGATTATGCATTTGGGATTTTTTTGGAAATGCAAAAGCTGGGCGTGAGACCCAGTGGGTTCACTTTCTCAATTTTAACATCATTTGTGTGTTGTGGTCGTCATGGGAAGCAAATTCATGGTCGCATGATAAGGAGTGGTGTTAATTTGTCGAATTTGGTGCTTGGGAATTCATTAATTGACATGTATGGAAAGCTTGGTCTTCTTCATTACGCTTTGGGTGTTTTTATGACTATGGAAGAGGTGGATATTGTCTCGTGGAATTCATTGATTACTTCTTGTTGCAAGTCAGGCCATGAAGAGTTGGCCTTGAAGCAGTTTTACTTGATGAGATCTGCTGGCTACTTACCTGATGAGTTTACGATTTCTACTGCAATTGCTGCATGTACTAAATTGGGAGATTTGGATAAGGGTAACCAAATGTTTGCTTTCAGTCTCAAAGTGGCATTCCTTTCTAATTCAATTGTTCTGAGTGCTATTATTGATCTTTTCTCCAAATGTAACAGATTGGAAGATTCAGTTCAGCTCTTTGAAGATGTTGAGCAATTAGATTCTGTGCTTTGCAATTCTATGATCTCAGGCTATGCAAGGCATGGTTTGTGGGAGGATTCATTGCGAACTTTTTTGCTAACCTTTAGAGAGGGTTTGAGGCCTACTGATTTCACACTTAATAATGTTCTGAGCTCTACTTCTCTTCTTTCAACTGAGCTGGGAAGTCAAGTTCATTCTTTGCTGGTCAAGTTAGGCTTTGAGTCAGAGGCAATTGTAGCTACCTCACTTGTGGATATGTACACTAAAATTGGGTTAATTGACTGTGCCATGAAGATTTTCTTCCAAATGGATGTAAGAGATCTGATATCCTGGAATACATTAATTTTGGGCTTGGCTAGAAATGGCAGATACTTTGAGGCTTTGGGTACTTTTAAGGAACTAATCAGAAGAGGTTCACCACCTGATCGAATAACACTTGCTGGTGTTCTATCAGCTTGCAGATACGGTGGTTTTGTTGATGAAGGAATGAGTATATTTTCGTCAATGGAGGAAGAATACGGAGTTGAACCCTGTGATGAGCATTATGCTTGCATTGTCGACTTGCTCTGTCAAGCTGGTAAACTAAAAGAAGCAATTGACACTGCAGAAGCAATGCCCTCTCAACCTAGTTCTTTTGTTTGGGAACCAATACTTATTGCTGCAGCAACTATTGGCGATCTGAATCTCATTGAAAGAGTAGCAGAGAGAATGATGACATCTGAACCGCAGTCCTCTTTACCTTATTTACTGTTGGTAAAGGCATACGAAATGAGAGGCAGATGGGAAGGTATGATACGAGTGATGAAGGCCATGAAGCAGAGGGGTCTGAAGAACATTACTGGCTGCAGTTGGATTGGAATAAAAAACAGTATATTTGCATTCGAGGCAGATCAGTTAGAGTATCCAAGCGGCCAAGAGATATATGTTATTTTGAGATTGTTAAGTTGGGAGGTGGGAGAGAAAGACAATATCCTTCTACACAATGATTAAGTGGGTTCTAGGAGAAACCAAGAGTTGAGCAAGATCCCAGAACAAAACTGAGATATTATTAGGTAAGTTGAATTATGTAAATAATAAAAAAAAAAAATTGCAATTTCATATCTACTTCTATACCTAACTGACGAGCAGGATGAGTACCAATGTAGCAGAAGAAGCTATAGCTGATTTTGGTTGCTTGAAACTGAAAATGAACTTACGAAACTGACTTTATTATTACTCAATCAGATAAGTTTTTGTTAGTCTCAAAAACTCTTATATTTTTGTATTAATCTCTCGGTATTTAGTAACCACATTGAGTCTCGACTAATACAGAATCAAGTCGCATAAGATCTGATTAATGGAAAACTCTTCCAATGCATATTTTTCCATTTACAAAACTCAAATTTGAGATTTTGTTTAAAGGAAATCGAACTCTTTTCATTTAGATCAACAGATATTAGTTCTCAAAAACTCTTATTTTTTTGTATTAATCTCTTGGTATTTGATAACCACATTGAGTCCCGATTAATATAGAATCAAGTCGCATAAAATCTGATTAGTGGAAAACTCTTCTAGTGCATGTTTTTCCATTCACAAAACTTAAATTTGAGATATTATTTAAAAGAAATCGAACTTCTTTCATTTAAACCAACAGATGGTAATCCTCAAAAACTCTTATGGATCCAAGAGAACTTCCTTGAGATGCTACCTTTCTTGTCCTTTATCCAAGCAAAAGTGTAGAGAGTGTTCTTTCATTGTCATCTGGAAATTTCATGCTACTGTTTGCTTGTTAAATTGTCTCGTTATTAGAAAGATTCCAATGAACCCTTCGGCCTGCCCTCTAAAACTGTGGCTCCTCTCTTGTAATTGTGTGGCCAAAATGGTTTGATTAATTGCAAAATACCATCTTTCCAGAAAAATTGAAACCATTCCTTTAAGTAATACCTACCGAACCCAAGAAAGAGACCCAAGAAAGAGACAGTGATTTTTCCTATTGCAGGAGGGCGCGCCCATTATTTTGTTTTCGACTTTATATTAAAACATTGTGATCCACTCAAAGTTCTTTCCAATTCATCCCAAGGATAACATCCATTCATTTGGTGTTTTTTTCAATTGTTTTAATTTGGCTTTTTTATGTATTAAATAAATAATAATTAAAATTTATTTAATCAAAGTAAAATTACTTGATAAAAATTATATTTAATTTTTTTTTAAAAATAAATTAACTTTTATGTAATAGTCAAACTAAAATAATTAAAAAAAGCATAAGAGGGTATTCTGTAATATTCACATTTTAATATTTTTTTTAATTTAAGTTTTTCTAGTAAGATAGATTAATTGATTGAAACTTTCGTTAATACATAGAGACAAAAAGCAGAAGAGCTTGAATTCTAGGCACATGGGTGAGAAAGTTTAAGTTGAGACAAGATTTC